CCCAGTTAGAGAGAGAAAAAGTTAAATGTTTCAAGGCATGTCTCCTCCATCAAATCTTAATAAAAATGAGTTCTTTGGGGGAAATCCTTCTTTAGACACTGACGTACTCTTTCCAATATTTTACAGAATAATCGAACCTCTGACCTCTAGATGTTCTAAATTCCGCTTCAAACCTCTGTCAGATAAAATTCAACAGCAGCGATTACTGGACATTGCTGATAAAGAACATGTCAAAATTAACAATGAGGTAATTATTAATCATTATTACTAATTTTAATTAATAACTCCTTTGATGAATGCATATGAAGAGGCCCTGAAAGGAGTCATATGTATGTTGTTTCAGTTTCTGATGCCAATTCTTCAAGCAAAGTTAAGCAAAATGAGTAATTAGAATGTCTAGGAATTATAGGTTGTCTATTATAAGTTTATTATCTATCAGCATTTTAGAGACCCAAAACTGGGGCAGATTTCATACAGCTAATGCAAATTCTGCAACAACAAATCTCCATATAATGACAAGATTTTAGGTGCCTAGCTAATAACTCCACTTCAAAAACTGATTTGATGAAATTCTGGTACAGCGATAGTATATATAGGCTTCTGATTTATTATAAAAGAATTTAACCATAATTTGAATTTTCTTTTATGTAATCAAGAAAATAGCATAAATATGGAACATTTTTGTCTGCATATTTCTTTCAAAGGCAATAGATCTCTGTCCTTCATTGTCTCCATGAATTCTGCCACTATAGGACTGGTAACATTCCCTAAAAAATGGAAATAAGCCCTGGCCGGTTTGGCTCAGCGGTTAGAGCGTCCGCCTGCGGTCCACAGAGACCCAGGTTTGGTTCCCGCTAAGGGCACGTACCTTGGCTGCAGTTTGTCCCCGGCCCTGGTTGGGTCGTGTGGGTGGCAGCCACTAGATGTGTCCCTTTCACATCGATGTTTCTCCTCTCTTCCTCTCTCTCCTTCCCGCTCTGAGTAAAAAAATGGAAAAATGTCCTCGGATGAGGATTAAAAAAAGAAAAAAAAAAGGAAATAAAATTCATCTCCACCCCTACTCTTTCACTTTATTAAAATCAGAAAGCCTTAATTGGTCATCATAGGTTAAACACACAAACTTTTTCTCTTCAGGGACTGTCCTGTCTTGTTCAAGTATCAGAAGGAGACTTAAGAAAGGCCATTACATTTCTTCAGAGTGCTACTCGATTAACAGGTGGGAAAGAGATCACAGAGAAGGTGATCACAGACATTGCTGGGGTAAGAGCACTAATTTTGAAATTCTTTTAGGTGGTTTTTAGAAAATTTTCATCCAAGTACATACAGAATGTTTATGTGCTTAGTATATTCAGGCTGCTGTAATAAAATACCATAGGCTGAGTGGTTTACAAACAACAGAAATTCATTTAAAAGTTATGCAGGCCAAGACGTCCAAGATGAAGGTGCCCACAGATTCAGTAGGATGAGGACTCACTTTCTAGCTCATGGACTCCTAATTCATAGATGGCCTGCATCTTTCTGTGGCAGAAGGGACCCCTCTTAGGCCCTCTTTTATAGGGACACTAAGTCCCAAGTACTGTGCTGGGAATAGTAAATAACCTGAGATTATCAGGATGCTTATAGGGATGTGGCAGTTCAGACATAAGGTCTGACAGACATATCCCTTTTCTTATAAATGGAAATCTATTCTGACAAAGGGCCACATAACACACAAGGCTCATGCATATTCAATTTAAGAAAAATCTTTTTAAAAAAATGGAGTGCCACACCTGTCTGGATACTCCTATCAGGATATGAAACAGTATTAGTCCCCTTTTCCTGGGTTATTTAGGGACTTTTTAAACCAATCACAATCTCTTTAGTGGCATCTTTACTTGGAGAAAGGGCACTTTCCCTTCAAATTAACTTTGGTTACCACTGCTCTGAGGAATGACAGCCACTGGGATGCTGTCCACCGTTAAACTTGAGAATGTTTAGAAGCAAAAGAAATTTTGTACACGAGAGCCAAATATTTTAAAAGCAAAAAATTACATAGCACCGACTGGACTAATGTATTGGGACAGCCATCTGAAGCTTATTTCAGTTTCAGGTCCAATACCTTTCTGGATCACCTGAGAACTCAGAACATTTGAGCGTAAGGCTTGGAGCAAGCCCTTTTCCAGTTTGTATCAGGAGAGCAGCTTTGTGGTCCTATGCTGGGACATGTCTTTTTACACACAAACTAAGCATGGAACAGAATGGAGTGGGGGTAGGCCTGGCATAATAGTGTCCAAATTGTCTTCACCTCCAAATTGTTTTATTTAGGTAATACCAGCTGAAACAGTTAATGGAATATTTGCTGCATGTCGGAGTGGCTCTTTTGACAAACTAGAAGCTGTGGTAAAGGTAAAGTTCAAGTTACTTTATTAACTTTGGGAAAGAAAATTAAATGCTGACACCATGTCTTTTTTTTTTCTAAATCAGGACTTAATAGATGAGGGTCATGCAGCAACACAGCTTGTAAATCAATTCCATGATGTAGTTGTAGAAAATGATGACCTTTCTGATAAACAAAAATCCATCATTACAGAAAAACTTGCTGTAAGTAGACACACTTGTACATTTCAGCAAAATATATCTGAAAGTGGTATTTATTTACAAATCTTTTTTTTTTTCTTCTAGGAAGTAGATAAATGCTTAGCAGATGGTGCTGATGAACATCTGCAATTGATTAGCCTCTGTGCTACAGTGATGCAGCAGTTAACCCAGAATTGTTAAAGTCAATAACTCTTTAATAAAAAGAAAATGACCAAAAGCACCTTTAAAGTGAATATACAATTTATTTAACATTCAAACTTCATTAAGACATGTGCAATATGGCAATTTTACTGGGGGTTTAACCCTACCTAGGATATGATTGCTTGCTGGGGCTTAGTAACAGGGTCCAGTTCACACTTAGCACTAATTAAATACTTTATTGAATAAATACAATACCAAACAAAATGCATTCAAATGCTTTCTAAAAAAAAAAAAAAAAATCAATTTTAAAGGCCTTCTATTCAGGCTAATGACAACACAATAAAGGCAGATAAGCTAGTTTAACATAATTGGCTGATTTTATACAGCACTTATATCTTTTAGTCCACAAGTATATTATCAAATGATAGAGAACATCTAATACAACCATTTCTACAGAACTAGGAAATAAATGTCTAAGAAAGAAAGATTTTACAGACCCCATCTTTTATACCCAACCCCAACAGTCTAACTCTAAAGAGGATAAAGCCAATGACTTTCCTCACAAGAGCTTGCGACTAAAGTCGCTTTGCTATCAAAATCTGTATTACTGATCCGTTATGAGCATTGAGACAAGATTCAAATATTCCCAAAAAAAGAAGCACAATGCACGTTGTGATCGCCTATTCAGCAACAGCGAGCACTGCATTCAAAACTATCTCATTCCAGGAATTAAATAAGGTCAGCCACATTCATTGGCATTTCCTCCACTGTAGTATTGTAGAAAGTCTCAATGTCACGAAGAATCCTCTTGTCTTCTTCAGTAACAAAGTTTATAGCCACACCTTTCCTCCCAAATCGACCCCCTCTGCCAATTCTGTGTAAGAAAAGAAAGCAGCAATTAGAATGTTACTTCTAACAATACATGAACTACTGAACATGATGATCCACTTGTTAACCATCAGCTGCTGCTTACTTATCAAGGTTATAGTTCGTGCTTCTAATAGGAGCACTATCTGCTAATCAATATCTAGAGGAAAAAAATCTTCCTTTGCAGTTAGTGCCAAAAGGATTCAAAGCTGTCTGGCTGCAAAATGAGATTTTATCAGGTGTCTTGAGCATTACTATTTTTAAAGCAGATGACAGTATTGTGTTTGGGGTAGTGAAATTAAAAAGCCCATACCAAAGTGGGCCAGCCAAGAGCAGAAGTCAGCCTGGGACAGATGTAAACACACCAGGGATAAAACAAAAAGAACAGTTATGTAATCCATATCGGCGCACTTCTGGAACTGTAAACTGTAAATACAAATGCTACAAGGTTAACTACTGTCTAAACTTACAACTTTTTCCAGTGGGAAAACAAGTATTTGGTATGGTAGCCCAAACTCATCACTGCTTTTTGCTCAGTTTCACACGTTATAGAACTCAAATTACTCAAACGTGTTTACCTCCAAAACAACTTTCTGCCTTCCTGATAGAAACCAGACAATACAAACCACCTAATAGACTAATATACAAAAGTGCCTTGGCTGGAGCAACTTAAAATATCAAATAATCATGACAAAAGAAAAACAAATATAAATACCGACTCGCTCTTTATTCAAACAGTGTCCTGTTTCGCTTATGATTCCACGTCCTAAATTACGTCAACGCCGTTTCTGAGTGCCATCTCGTCATCAACTGCTGCTATCGACTCCTGTATTTTTTAAAAAGTCTTTTTTTACATCATATAACAAAGTACAATTCAATTTATTTAGGGATAAAGCCACTATAACTAAACCAGGGACTGCTCAAATTGCTACCAGACGACACCAAGAAAATCCCAACTATAATCACCAAGAAAACACATGGACACACAAAGAGCATCACTAAAAATAAAGCTCAAAAATAAGCTAAGACCAACAGATCTAAAACAATCTAATCCATATGTATGAAAGCCCACAATTTGGGCAACATTTACCACTGTTTTCCCACTGCATGACCAATCTTCCCAAGTACAATTTTTAATTTCATCTTACCAAGTTACTACGTCTACTGACTGAATCAATTCCCTGATTTGAGGTTACCTTTCAGACAAAATCGGTCAGTAAAACAGCAATAATAAACTCATTTTACTAATACAGTAACAGTCAAGGTGCCATCTACTCACCTGTGAATATAGTTTTCACGATTGGTAGGTAGATCATAGTTTATAACCAATGACACTTGTTGCACATCAATCCCACGAGCCTGAAATACAATGGTATGATACTCAAATTGTAATGAAAAAACCGAATCACTTCTGTAATGTAGGCCACAAAATAGTAGTGAACTATATGCTTAGTGATATAGCCCACTGTGGAGTGTGGTCTTCTTTTATTCTCCCAAATAGCCCAAGTTGGTAAAGGTTATTTTAAAAACCTTCCCCCAAGAAAAACTTTTGGTAGGTTAAAAAGAGTAGTCAAAACTGACTTACCAACAAGTCAGTAGTGATCAGAACACGGCTTGACCCTGATCGGAATTCCCTCATGATAACATCTCTTTCCTTCTGGTCCATGTCACCATGCTGCAAATTAACAAACCTTAATTCAAGAATCACACATCAGTCAAATTAATATTTAATTTTAGCATGTATGAGACCAAGCGTCCCTGGCTGCTACAGGAGTATAGCAGACAGGTATAGTTAAGAAACAACTTTATTTTGAGCAGGGGGAACGACAACACAGCACTTAACAGCTATATTGTAGTCTGAATCCTGCTTTAATGAAGTATAATTACCGTTACTAGAGTAGAACATCTCTTACCAGAGCAGAAACTGTGAAGTCCCTGGCATGCATTTTCTCAGTGAGCCAGTCCACCTTGCGCCTTGTATTGAGAAAAATAACAGCCTGTGTAATCGTCAGCGTCTCATACAAGTCACAAAGTGTATCCAACTTCCATTCCTACAGTATTTCAAAGAAAAAGTTAAGCCATTAAAACAATTTCGTTTCCAACTTACTTACAATCATTAGAAATTCAATGTCAGGCTGGTCTGAAGACATGTTGCACCAAATTTTAAGACAAAGGACACTGGACATTAAGAAAGAGGTCCACCCCAGTCTTTATAATCTAGTGCAGTTATTTTTCTTCTTGTGTGTACTCTGCTAGCATTATTACAAAAACCAAGATGTGATCCCAGTTTCTGCAATTTTAGCACAGTGCTTATACAAGAAGGTCAAAAACCTGACTCATTTTTTGTTTATTAGACAAGTTACCTCACCTCTCTTTCAACATTAATATAAAACTGTTTGATTCCTTCAAGGGTCAATTCTTCCTTTTTCACCAGAATTCGAATTGGATCTCTCATGAATTTTTTGGTCACTTCCAACACATCAGTTGGCATCGTGGCAGAAAGCAACACAACCTTTAAAAAAGAAGATGATGTCATCACATTACATAGCGCAACTTTTACAATACTCAAAAAACCATGTTTGAGACCAAGCGTCTCTGTCTTGCTATGGAATTGTGCTAGACAGAGATAGTTATGCATCAGTTGCTTTAAGCAGGGGGAACGACAATAAAACACTTCAGTTATATTGTAACAGTTCCTGCATTAAACCTAATCTCCAGCTTTAGGAGGGGGGGAAATAAAGCTCACCTGAATACTTGTATTTAATTTCTGAAAAATCTCATAGATTTGATCCTTAAATCCCCGGCTCAACATTTCATCTGCTTCATCCAAAACAAACATTTTGATCCATTTTGGAGCTGTTAAAAAAAAAAAAAGGGCATCACCTCTAGATTCTCAGATACCATTTGAATTTATGATAGTAAAAAATGTTATCCTCACATTGACAGCAATACTTACAAAGATACCTTCTATTTAACATATCAAACACTCTCCCTGGTGTACCAACAACAATATGTGGTGCTTCAGCCTGCAGTTTTTGCATTTCATTGCGAACATTGGTTCCACCAATGCAGGCATGACAAGTTGCTCCCATATAGTCTCCAAGTGCCAGAATTACCTTTTGGATCTAAAACAAAAGTCTTAATTATTATTCAACAGAATTACAGATTGTGACTAAATTTCCAAAGCATAATGGCAAGTATCTGGTCTATAGCTTTTATGCATGCACAGCACTTAACTACTTCCAAGCTTAAAATGCAGACTAACTGCTTCAAGAAAAAAAATTCCCTTGAAATGTCTTCTTGCGCCTTGTCAAACTTGGGATCCTATTGCCCCAAGTACTAGCTAAATTAAGAACTAAAAACATGTCCTTATTCTTCATTGTGTGGGTAGATGTTAACTAGTGAATCAAGCTCTGCAATTACAGCTAAGTTGTTGATACTTTGAACTTTTCCCAAAGGGCAGTGACATAAATCTTGACCTCAATAAAACCTGTTTTATTAACAATGGGAGCAATGTGTACTCAAAACCTATATAGTAGCAGTGAGCTTTGAAAACATATCATGCAAAAGATGCACCACAAACTAATGAATATGTCACTGCAGTTTTCATGTTGCACAACTGCATTCAAACTTAAAAATGAGAAGAGATCTAGTTCACGCTGAAAAACTTTAGTTTCTCCATCTGTTATATAACCCTGCAAAACATAACCTGCACACCCAGTTCCTATTTAACTTTGAACAAAAACTCCCTGCATGCATGGACAGTTAAAAGGAGGGCTCTCATAGGACCAATTTATACTAAGTTTTAAATTCTTCAGTTGTGAAACCTGAAACCTATGCAACACGCAAGCAGTTTTTTTTTTTTTGAACTACACTATCAATACCTGTTGTGCCAGTTCTCTGGTGGGGGCCAATACTAGTGCTTGGGTCTCCTTGAACTCAATCTCCAACTGTTGCAGGATGGAAATAGCAAATGTGGCTGTCTTGCCAGTACCTGACTGAGCTTGAGCAATCACATCATACCCTAAAAAAAGTAGGATACATATTTACCGATCCCACATCAAATCGTCACTTCTAGTTTACACTATGTATTCCATTTGGAACATGAATTACGCCCAAATAAGTGATCAGCAATGAGTATTCTCCATTTCAGGTCAGTCCCGAAAGATGATTGCCATCATTTCACTTTAAGGAATACAAGTAGGTACTAGTCCCCCAGAAGTTATTTTCCCTTTTATGGTCCAGGTCTATGTAAAACAATGCTTTCATTTCTACAAGTGCCAACGAGTTCTTTTACCTTTAATACAAGGAATAATAGCTCTCTGCTGAATAGCTGAAGGCTTCTCAAAACCATAAGCATAGATGCCCCGAAGAAGAGACTCCTTTAAATTCATATCGTCAAAGTTATCAACAATCTCATTCCAGTTGCTCTATAAAAAATGTTTAAAAAGGGGAGTAAATATGATGAACAAACTCACCTTTTCTGAGTTTCAAAATCCACACACATTTCTTACCTCGATGACACCATCGGGGTCCATTCCCTCTGGGCCGCCATGTTCTCTGCAGACAAAAAGACCGCAGTTAGAACGTCCCTTTCCCAAGCCGCCCAACTGCACACTGGGGGCAGCCCTTTACAGCCTGTCAGGTCAGGTGACCCTTCCGCGCACGCGGTACGCTTTCTCCTACGAGAGCAAAGGAAGCTGGCGGAGCAGGGCACACGGTCTGTTTACTGTGCGCCGGCCGCCAGGCTGAGAACCGGGGCCGACGGAAAAGGTCCACCGACGCCGGCCCTTCCCCGAAGCTCGGCGCTCCCGTCTCGCGAGAAGTCCTGACGCCCAGCTCCGCCCCTCACAATGCGCAAGCCGAGTGATTGACGCGGGCAGAGGCCTGGCGAGGGCCATGCCAACGGTTCGCGGGGACCCGTCGCCGAGCGGGCGCCGCCGTCACCCTGCCCCCACCCCACTTACAGAGAAGCCCTCCGACGCGCGCAGTGGGCCGCCAATAACCTCGGAGCCGGTTACTGTGCCGAATGCGGACTGCGCCACGGCTTGAACCAAATGTCAGCTCCACAGGGGCATGGAAAGCGGCCGGGACGTCAAAGCGGCTTCAGGAGAAGACACCATTCCATTTTCGTCCCCTTGTGCTGTCTCCCCGCAGTCCGGGGCCCTACCCATCATGGAAGCTTCTCGAAGGACACAGGTGCCGTACACCCAGGAAACGCCCGGGAACCCAGCTCCCTGCTCCACGCCAGCTACTACACCCTCCACGGGCGCCACAGGCCCTTCACCAGCGAGCACCGCGGAAAAGCGCCGTACCTGTTATAATCCGCGGAGCCACCAGACATGTTCCGAAAAACCACTCAGCGCCCGACTGAAAAGACAGCGGGGCCGCGCCACCCGTTTTTTATAGGCTCGCGGCCGGAACCCGTTTTCCGCGGAGGAGTTTTCTCGTCGCTCTTCGGCTAGCACAAAATTGTGATCCTGGAGTCCTTACCTCAGAAAATAGCCTAAGCGAGGTGGTGGGAAAATCCAACTTGGTTATTTCGAGATACTATGGGGTCGCTGGAAATCCTGGGAGCCCGCGGGGAGATTGGGACTCTTTGCTTGGCGGCGGACGGATACTGCAGCATGCCGTCCCCGCCCGAGTCCCCGCCCACCCTGCTCCTACGGGGTTTCCGCGTCCCCGAAGCAGAGGCGGCCCGCGGGAGCCGGCCGCGCGGGGGGCGGAAGCCGGAGGCGCGCAGCGTGCGGGTGGCCCGGGCTCCCCAGGGGCAGGTGGGCCGACTGCGTGGTTCGCCTCCGGCCTCGGAGCCAGAGGCAGGCACCTCCACTTCTGCACTGGAGCGGATCGGGTTCCTCCGCCCGCCGACACAGCGGTGGGAAAAGGCTCTTTGACGTGACAATAGAGAGCCGCCTGGCCTCTGGCCCGAGCGTTCAACATCCATTCAGATCGTAAAATGTGCACGTCTCCTGGGAGAACGTGGCCGCCCGGCCCGGCCCAGGACTCCGGTTTGCCACACGCCGAGCAGGGCGAGTAGGAACGTGCGGTGGCATTTGCAGTGTCCCTGTGTAGCCAACGCTGCGCTTTCCGTGTTGCCTCTGGGCTTCTCTCGCTCTCTTTAAAATAATGCTAATAATTTTCACAGGTGTGAGGAATGCCTCATAAAATCATTGTAAACTTCTGTAAATGTGTAATAGCTGAGGAGGAGGAGTAATTCTTGCAATGAAGGAATTTAAGTGGATGCTTCTGACATACAACTCCATGCTGTTTGGGGACATAGGTTTTGATTCTGGTCCATAGTGGTCTTTTTTTTTTTTTTTTTAAAGACTGAGTTTTAATTGCTTATACAGAATGAATGCTGATTTATTAAAATTGAGAGAAATGCAGCATTTGCTATTTGAATACATTCATGATTCGTGAAGCTCTAGAGGTTTTCAACTGTTGTCTTAACCCAGGTCCGTTGGTAAAAACAAAAAACAATGTATTTACTCATTTAACTTTAAAATACAATCCTTCTCATGCTGCAATATATCACGAATACTCGGGAAAACATTTC